CTTCTTTTTTTTTTTTTTCTGTCATCCATCCTTTTTTCCTTCCTCCCTTCCTTCCCTGCCTCCTAAAAGGGCCAATAGCTGGATTTCTTCAGTTTGTTTTTTCCGTACTCTTTTCTTTATTTCTTTCTCTTGTGTTTACTTTGCATTTACACTCATGGTAACCATTCTCATACCAAACAATAGGACAATCCATTAGATTAATCTTCAAATTGATCAGAAGAGGTAAAGCAACCAGAGGCCATGAGATGATGTGGTGTTTTCTTCTCTCCCACTACTTTATGCTGTCCTTTTTTTTTTTTTTTTTTTTATTGTAGATGGCAGTGAAACCTTATACCAGCCAATGCTCATTCAGTAAAAAATTCATTTCCTGTGTGTTGTCCGCTGTAAGGCTGTCGCTCTGTCACTTAATTATTTAAAGAAATGCCCATCAAGTGAAGTCAGCAATATTTAATTTACCACTACTGGCGTCAGGGGCACCCAATTGATTTATTATAGAGGCCCTTTAATGTGAACAGCTGTTTCCTGCTAAAAATAGGTCAGGGGTCAGATAAAATGACCTTGTTCCTTTTTTTTTGTGGCCTCACATTGAGATAAAAAGAAGGAACTGTAATGCAAGGGCAAAATGTTAATGTTTGATTCAGATGGACAGCCTGTTTCTGTCACAAATTCCTTATGGCCTGATCAATACCTCGAGCCTCAGAAATGATGGACAAAAAGGCTTTTTACTTGATTACGTATTTTACTGTATAATTGAGTTTGCACAAATGTGTTTAAGTCTCATTCTATTCTGTGTCAGAATTTATTTTTTTTCAATATTGGTAATGCTGTAAATGATTTCCGCCTTTCATGACATCAAAGACATCACAGGCATGTAATATAAGGATATTGATCATCGTCACACAATTACAAATCATAATCTTTGAAAGGCAAACCTTCAATATTAAGTGTTTGCTTCTTTTTTTCCCCCCTCCTGTCTGACTCACTATCTGTAACCCTTATCATTTGAAGTCTAGCCGTTTGAAGACTAGCCGTGTGGCTCTTGTGTTCGTGGTGGAAGTAGAAGGAAGGACTTAGGGAGTGGTTCAGGGGCCCTCAGCCTCGGCACTTCCCACCACAGCGACCTCTGACCCTTGGTGCCATTAATCACTAGGCTCCTGATGGCCCTGTCCCTGGGGGAAAATCAGTCCGGGGCAAAGGATGATGGGAGGTGAAGCCTGCAGCCAATTACAGATTGGCTCAGAGCAGCCGAGTGGACAAATCAGGGCTTTACAGAGAGATGAAATACCCAATAGTTGCCTACTTGAGGCCTCATGTCATGAAGTGGTCTCGTATCACTGCCGATCTTTTTGTCTCTCGTTATCGCTAAAGCACATTAGGCAATAAGGTTGAAATGGGAACAAGTATAACAGCAGAATTAAAGCTCCTGTGAGGCAGAGGTCTTGTGCTACTGTGATCAAAAGAGATGTTTTGGCCTGGTCTAATTAAGCCTGTTAGAGCTAAATGTCTCCAGGGTTGGAAACGCAGCAGATGTTGGACACCAAAGCCAGGCGACACGTTGATTCTCTCAAATGAGGGAACTCTCTGGCTAACTGCCCAAGCGTTGCTAATGCGATTTTTGGTCAATTATAGTATTATCAAAGGTTCTTTCCCAGTGCTTTCACATGTGGTCTGGTCGTGTTGAAATGTGAAACCTGGCTAATGTCACATGTTGACTAATTAATGCTGTTTTTGGTTTCAGAACCACCTTTGGTCCACTTAAGATATACAGATAGCTATTTGGTTTCTTCTCATACGCACACCACACGCTGCTCTCTCACGGAAACTAGTAATGTTTCATCTTTCTTTGTGTGGCTATGGGCTCTTAAAATAGAGCCTTGTAAATCCATAAAATCTGATTTTGATTTGACAACAGATGGTGACAAAAGCAGAGGCGTGAATTAAAGCCTAACTAACTGCTGGCCTGTCACTATGGGGCCAGTGCTGTTGTGTCTCATTTGTTGTGCTGTCATTGTTCATGGCCAGGCCAGTATGAAAACATGGCTTCCTGCTGACCTGCAGTTTAATTCACACATCAATAACCCCTGGCTGATCTCTGACCCCTCTAGTTGTACTAATTGTTTAATGCAGGATTGATGTCTAACACTGCATTAAATAACTGACGAAGCACCGGCAGAAAAACATTCCTGATGTATTGATGCACTGCTTGTTCTAGAAATGTTGCCGCTGCCCAAAGATACAGTGAAAGTTTTGCCATCTACATGGGGTTTGCTGTGCCACCTGCGAATAAATAAATAAAAACTTTTTTTCAGTTTGATAGAAATGCGTGGCATCAAATTTGCAATCTTCAGGAGAACAGGACATTTTTAAATCATTCATTGAACAGTTGACTATTAAATCAATACCAGTCGTAATTTATGCATTTATATACACATTTATTTATTCTTTTAACCTGGGTAAAAAGGAACATTGCTGTTGGGTTTTATTCTAAAATTACAGGATTCAAATTTGATAATAGCAACCACTGACTGCTAAAAGTAAAGTTACAATGAATGTGCAATTAGAATACTTCTAAATGAACTTATTGATTAACATAATGAGAATACAGATCTGATGTTAAAAAGACATTAAAAACTAGATGACTGTTCCTTTCCTCTCCTCTTCTCTCTCTCTCTCATTCTGTACTTTGCTAATTCAGATAATCTGTAAAAGAAGCCGGCATCTTGGCAGGGCCCCTCTTGTTTTTTTATCTGTTAATTGGCTCTGAAGATAAGATGGCTTTTTTCCCTGAACAGAATTTTGTGCAGCTTTAACAAACTAACAACATTAACCGCGTATACTGTGCTGTGGTGCTATGGGTAACTATTGTGGGTAATTTTAGTTTAATGTATTTTGTATGTTTATTACATTTTAGATACATCAGTAGCATTTAATTCAATGTGTTGTGTTTGTGTGAATGGAAGTGGACATTATAAAATTGGCAAAGGCAGGATTTTTTTTCTTGGGATGTTGTAAGGTATTGCACAAGATTTTACTGCTGTAATAAACAGGTTCCTTTGTGTTTACTGCATTCCTACATGTATTTCCTATTTTTTTTATATGTTACACAACCAGCTTATTAACTGGTCTGTTTGAATGTTTAAATCCCTGGCAATAGACTCCTATTGTCTTTAACCAGCACATTTTTTCTTTCTCTAAATTTGCTCAAAACCCACTGTTTAAACGTTCCATCATCTATACACCGCTTAATCCTCACCAGGGTCGTGGGGGGCTGGAGTCTATCCCAGCTGACTTAGGGCGAAGGCAGGGGACACCCTGGACAGGTCACCAGTCTATTGTAGGGCTACACTTAGAGACAGACAACCAAGCACACTCACATTCACACCTACGGACAATTTAGAATCACCAATTAACCTCAACATGTTTTTGGACCTTGTGGGAGGAAGCTGGAGAACCCAGAGAGAACCCACGCTGCACAGGGAGAACATGTGAACTCCACGCAGAAAGATCATGGGTGTCCAAACCGCGAGGCAACAGTGCTAACCACCGAGCCAACTTGCAGCCCCTGTTTATACAGAAAGGGCAAAATGTGGTGACAGACAATGTTGGCCAGTTTCCCCAAAGCCCATTGAGAGAGCTCTATAATGAGATATGCAGTGCATAAACTGGCTGTAAGCCTTTACTCACTGCCACTTATACGTTGTATTTTGAGACAAACATTAGGGGGGGTTTCGTGGGGGTGACTTGATAGCCAAATAGTTGGAGCGCATACCACACGGGTGCAAATACCCTGAACACCAAGTCCCTGGATTGATCCCTGGTTGAGGACCATTTGCTGCATGTCATTCCCCTTGCTACTGTGGAATAAAGGAATGCCCCCCAAAAATAAGCTTAAAAAAAACAACAATTTTCAGTCGTAAAAACTTTTATTTACCCACCAACGTTATAACCAGTAATAAATAGTACACTTAGAGGCTTAGTGCTTTGACGGTGCACCTTCCTGATCTCCGCGCTCCACGGGTCCATGAGTTCACCTAGGCCCTCTGCACATGGCTTAAAGACATGTTGCTAACTTAAGAAAATGAATCAGGGCTAATCTTCATGGCCTGATCACACTGCTATTTTACAAAGTCATTAATGAGTCCAATTCCAGGTTAAGAGCAGCCTGTGGAGGGGCTGAAGGATTGCCTGGCATTAACTGTGAGGGCAAATCTGTACAACTCGCTGTGCTGGGTCCGGCAACACTAACAGCATAGGGGTGTGGATTTACTCGGTACAATCCTCTAAATGAGCTTCATTATACTGGCCTATCCAGGAGACCCCACCCACAGCTGCCCATGGATTAGCAGGTTGTCACAATCCCCAGTCCCCTCCTCCCGCTTCATGCTTACACTGTTGCACATTGCACTTTTTGATTCTATTGCATATGGGAGCCACCCCCTACTCCTCCCACCACCTACTCCCCACACGCGCCCTGCAAGCTTCACTGCAGATAAGCTGTTGACAAGATTAATGCATCTGTATCAAAAGTCTAGAGCCGCTTTGCTTTGTGTTGTTTGTGAATCCCCTTTTCCAGGTCAAGCCAGATTGCCTTAACTGGGCTAATATGTTTTCAAGCCAAATTTAACAGGCGTGCAGGCAGCAGGCTTGCCACCCTTGTCTAACCAGCATCCTGACAGCACTTAGATCAGCGTGTATAAGTCACAAAAGTATCCTCGATGATACAGAGTAGACTTTTGAATGAACATATGCGCAATCTAGAATGCCCCTTGCTTTATCTTTCACTGTACAGTCTTTAAATGTGTCATTACGTGCCACAATGTCTCAGCAGAGATGAGAAAAAGATTCAGCGTTCGGGGTTCCACTCCTGTTGAGCTTGTGCAAACAGTTGATATACAAATGCACTTTGAAATAAAGTCATCCATCAGGGCTTAAGCTAGTCTGATTCAGATGTGTGATTTGTGCCGTATTGATTTCTCTTATTATTTCTGTGTCCACCATAGGAACCCCAGTCAATCGTATTCCCATCATGGCCAAGCAGGTCCTGGACCTGTACATGCTGTACAAGCTGGTGACAGAGAAGGGAGGCCTTGTGGAGGTGATCAACAAGAAGATCTGGAGAGAAATCACAAAGGGACTCAACCTGCCTACCTCTATCACCAGTGCAGCATTTACTCTGCGTACACAGTAAGTGTTTGCATTTGTGTCACAAAGCAACCAAACTAATTCATTTTTTTTTGGAACTAAATAAAGAATTTCAAGTGCATAACTTCTCAGCTGGAAGCCAACCCCTTCCTAATGCAGTGAACATGTGTGTGTAGCATTAAGCTGTGTTCACATAAAAAGCCTTCAGCCATGTTTTTCAGTCGTCCATCTCACACGTGTCTATTGGAACGGATACACTCCTATTTTAATCAGTCCAGCTGTCTACGCAGACGTCGTAGCGGCTCACGTTTTACTCGTGCACGGAAACCCGCCTCCTGTGTGGGCGCACAAGGAGCTGCTCTGCTAACCTGCTGCTCATGCTGCACCTTTAATGTGGATACAGTGTTGGAGTATTTGTGTGTGTTGCTATGAATGTGAGTGTAAATACGAAGCTGTGCCTGTGTGTTTATACACATGCGAGTTTGTTTTCTCCACCAGGCCACCTTCCTTCTTCACATTCAATCCCTCCAAGCATTACATCACACACAGAGCTCATTGATTCCCATAGATTTATTGACCTGATTTGGGTCATAGTTCACAGTGACTAAGGTGGGGTTTGACTGACAGCTTATATGCCGAGCCTCGACTAGAAATCTCTCACTCTCTCGATGGAAGCCCTTCAGTAGAAGTAACACCTCTCTATTCGGTCTACCAGCAGATATCCCTAATGAACCTTAATGTATTTTTAATGTTGCTGAGCTGTTGTGTAGCGTCGCTCCACTACCTCTATCTAATGGATGCTGCTGCTCTTGCTCCTTATCGATCCTCGCTGCTGCTTTTCCACCATTATGCAGTCAGCATACATAACAAAGTGTGCTCATTTATGGGATGGAAAACATAACCGAGCTGTGACTGTGCATACTTGTAGAGCTGCTGTGATGTCATCCAAGTATACTCGGCATACAAAATGTGTTCTACATAGTTGTTATACATGCTGTTGTATTAAATTCAGTGTTCATTAGTGTATTTTACAATGGAGTTAAAAGTAAGCCTCCTGGAATAAGTTAATTTTGCAAACAAGTGACCCAGTTTTTATAATAGAGACAAGACATTAGAGAAACAGTTAACGCACCTAGATTCCTTCTGCAGAGACTTTTTTTTTTTTTGGTCCATGTATGACATAACCAGATGTCAAACAGAGTTTTTACATGTGTGAATGTACATTAACAGCTACAGACAGGGGCAGGATCGCTATGGCAGCTGTCCCTGGGATACAAGGAAAGATCATTCTTCATTGCAGTATAACATCTGATCTTAAATGGAATTAAGGCTCCGACAAACACTGAAACTGACATCAAAACAAAATATAGAAACAAATGCACTTCTTGAGCTGAACATAAGACTGTACATTTTTTTATTTTTACATTTGAAACGATAAAAGAAGATAAAAAGATAAAAGCATTACCTTAATTTAGTAGACACCAAAGAGAAAAAGAAAGACATAACTTTGCAAATAAACTGATGAGACTTCAAAAAGAACATGAAAAAAGATCTGACAGAGAAAAAAGTTGATAAAATTTGATTTAAACTGGTTTTTAAAAAACTGACTGACTGTCTCAAAATATTAATTATTGCAAACCCTTGAACCCAAATAGAACAGATGACGTGGACTTACATGGAGAATCATGACATCTGTCCCGTCTGTTTTCTACTCCTTGATATGTGTCAGATCGCTGGGCTTCAGAAAGTAAATTATAAAATGTGTGAGTCCAAACTGGGCACCAAAAGAGCTTGTATGTGTCCTATCAATAGCCACTTTCCACCCTTCCTCAGTAAATTCTTCATGCTCCCACGCAGCTCTTATTTTGGTTTGGAAACATTTGTCAAATGACAGAAGCTGACCATAGATCCTGGAGATCAGTCATCTCTGTTTGGGTCTGTATCCCCCAGGGGGGGCGTAGGAGGCATTTAGGGGTAATTTGGAAATAAGGAAACTGCACCATGTTGTGGTTGAAGGTACTGGAATAGGTTAGCTGCTGTTTTTGGTTGAAGAGTTCGGCGCCACTGCAAACCACGGCAGCTTTATATAGCGCTAAAACTCACCATATTCTTTTATTGTGCCATTACAGGAAGTAGCATCTGTATATGAGGGGGAGAATAAATACTTCTTCATTGTAGGTGCCCTAGAAGAGGAACTTCGGGTGAATTGATACCAGATCCTAGTGATAGAATTCATGACCGGGTTGTATGTAAAGCCAGAGGGTGTTGAGTGGTGTAACTTTGTAAGTAAATGAAGGTTATTATTATCATATATGATTATTATTATTGGGCTCTGGAGAGTAGATAATAGACGGATACTTGGGATTTTGCTAGTAGGACACTAAAAATAGAGTAAAGAAATATTACATTTAAATGTAGATCATAAATTTAAAATATAGTAAAAAAAAAAAACAAAAAACAAGCATTTCTGATAACACAAAGCAAAGGCTGTGTTTCCACTAGAACTCGGGGCTGATAGTGTTATCTTCAATACTACAGAAAACTCCAAGACAAAAAAGAAAAAAACAAACAGTAAATGCTTATTGATGTTAGATGCAGAAACATGTGTTTTATGAGGTGCCAATGTCTTTTGTATTTGAGATGCATCAAGAATTTAAATCTTAAAAAAAAAGAGAATTGGCTAGAAAAATAGAAATAAGACCATAATAATAGTGAATAAATACATTTCAGGGAAAATGACAGATGCACCTCCTCTCCCCTCAAATTGTTGTTCTTGCAATGGGACTATAGAATGTGTTGTGGTGTATAGTGGCTGAAATGATTACCATGAAAAGGTAAAAATACATGTAGCCAATTATAATATTGGCCTGGAAAAATGTCTCAATACAAAGAAAGGAAAATAACTGAACCAACTTGAAACAGTTTTTAAAAACACTTAAAAATTGGGCGAGTAAAGGCCTGACCTATAGTATACTCAGGTAGTTACAGATAAAGAATAGAGATTTTAAAATCATGTTAGATACGATTCATCATATTTTGGAACAAGTCAGCAAACACCAGCTTGGAGAAGAAACTGAATTTAATTATATTACCTGAAATTTGGAAGGACATCAGTAATATGTGGAAAACCACAAGTTGATTTAAGGGTTATTGCATTTCAAATCATCAGCGGCCTTCTGCTCAGCCATCTCTAATTTGCATGAAACGTTTTTGTTTTGTTTTATTTTATCATAAACAGTAAATATTTAAAACAGTCTCTGTAAAATGTTAACAGTTGATTCATAAATCAAATGCTTTCCAAGATAGTTTCATTTATTTTTAATTGCCTGTTGACTCACTGTCAGCACATTTTTTTCAAATTAAAATGTATATATTTATTCTTATTTATATAAATATTTGATTTTTAAACATGAATGCTCCCTGATTATAAGTAAATACAAATATGAAGAAAAAAAATCATGAAAACTCCCCTCTTTGAGCAAACATTACAAAAAAATATTTTAAATGCAGAAGTCAACTAGTGAGACTGTTTTTTTTAAAAACATAAACAGTGTCACAATAATACAAAACAAAGTGTATAGAATACATTTTAATAAATACTTGGCCACAAAAAACAAAACATTTTTGAACTTTAATAATTGATAAAGCAAGTATGACAAGTTGTACCACAAGAGTTGGGGAAAAGATTGCTCCAAATTCTCCAAATATAACGAAGGAAAATATTTTTGTAATACAGAAGTGTAACGTTGGTATTTCAGACATTGCATATTCTTATTGGAATATATTCATTACTACTTATTGGAGGAAAGCTTTAATGTAAATTATTAACTAATTACTACAAGTACAGAGGTGCTGACACTAAAGGCCAAGCTTATCCCCAATGCATTGCAAGAGAAGTCAGGTCCTGTCAGACAGTTTCCACAATGATCATGACAATCAATTTGCCTCTGAAGTCTGATGAAGGACATCAGATTACCATTAAATATAGACATGAAGAGTTTCCACTACAAAAATCCCGCAATCCCAACAGATCTATGGATTTTGCTATTTTTATTCTGTACTGCTGTCATCCTGTGACCTAATGCAGAAAGAAACTACCCAAAACTACAAGACGGGTCTCCTCCGAGCCAACATGTATGCCATTTAAAGCGATGTCAGAAAATAAAAATAGGTCCATATTAAAAAAAAAACAAATCTTAGTTATATTACAAAAAAACTATTTGTGTGAGAAGAAGAAAAAAGAAGAATAAAAACCATGCTTACAGTGAGTTTGACAGGCTTTTACTTTTAGATTAAATGTTGTCTCAAAGTATTTCATATATCAACATATCCATATTTTATGTTACAACAATTTCAGGCAAGTCACAGATGCTTGAGCAGAAATTGTTCTAAAAAAGTTTGCTGATTTGATTTGACCCTAATTTGAAGTGACTACTATTGAAAAAAAATCTTTAAAACACCTGTTGTTCAAGCAAAGAAAATGAAAAAAAAACTCCATCATGGGGAGAGAGAAGCCAGCCCCACATCAGTTCTTTTCCTATCCAGTTTTGCAGTAAAATGTGGAGCTATGGACATGATACGTTAGAGCACAATCTTTTTGTGGCCAGAGCATTTATCAGAGCACCACCTCTCTCAGCAGACTGATGATTATCTTTTGAGAATTTTAAGACTGTGGCTCTTGAGCAGATGACTGTCTGAAACCACCACCACCACCTCAACAAAGTAAATAGGAATTAATGAAATGTATAAAATTACTACTACTTTTTTTATATTACACCATCCTTGGTGCTTTGGCAATATTGTTAACCTGATATTCATGCCTATTAAGCATATTGAATTAAATATACTGTATGTGGTGTACATACAAACAAATTCAAAGAAAAACCCAGAACATTTACATCTCGTGGCTCCGTTACGCTGCAGGAAGCATTTTGACGTCATGGTTCGGGCCCACTTGTCCCCTTAGAGGGAAAAGTCACTGCAACTCAATAAAAAGTTGATCTGAGGTGACCTTTATCTAATGATGCAACATTTCCATCCTGATGGGAGTGGTTATTCCACAATGACAACACTCCCATCCATAGTCCACGATGGGTCACTGAGTGCTTTAATAGGATGAATTTTTATGTGAGTCATGTGCTCTGGCCTTCACAGCCGCCACATCTCAGCCTAAACTGATGGGAAATTTTGTGGTGACATATTCGATAGTGTTCTCTGGCATCGTCGTCAAAGCGCCAAATGAGGGTCTGTCTTTAAGAAGAATGATGTTTTATTTCCAGCAGAGTTTAGAAACTTGGAAAATCAGTGCTAAGAGGCATTGAGGCTGTTCAGGCAGCATGTTGTATGTCTATTTATTATATCATTTAGCAAATAAAGAGCATATATATGTGTATAAAAAGACACATTTCCACCTTAAAACATAGTGGTCTGTCAGTGCCTTCCATGTCCACACACAACTTTACAATAAAATAAAATAAAAACCTTTGGACAGCCGCTTTGTACAAAACCAATGTACTCAAAATGAGACAGACTTGCTTAAAGGATGTGATTGGAGATAATAGTAAAATCTGTTTGACAAGCAAACAAGAGGTGGTTCACTCCAGTAAACACAAACACATTCCCTGATGTATTTCTTCTACTTGTATGAATGTTTTTTTCTGGTGACCTTATGTGTTGCCTTGTGTTTGATTTCCTCTTCAGGTACATGAAATACCTGTACCCGTATGAGTGCGAGAGGAAAGGTCTCAGCTCCCCCGGTGAGCTTCAGGCTGCCATCGACAGCAACCGACGTGAGGGTCGTCGCCCGAGCTACAGCAGCAGCCTCTTCCGCTTCTCGCCCTCTCCCAGCACAGCCCCTCACATCCTGTCACCTCCCAAGATGCACCTTTCAGGTCTGAGCGCAGCGACCTCGGCAGCCCTTAATGGCCTGCAGGCCTCACCAGGACCCTCTATGAAGAAAGGTAGGCGCTTCATTGTGATATAGGTTATTTATTTTTTCCTTCTCACAAATCTGCATATTCTGATATATAAACTTTTGGTAAATTAATGGGGAAAAAAGCGAAGATGAGTTTACAGTATTTGTGGTTTACACTCTTAAAACAAGCCTGTCAGCAAGCTAGCAGACAGCTCTGACATGAGTGTAGTGTGACGGGTGAAAGAGGTGTTGCTGGAAAAATAAATTAAGATATATTCTCAGAAGCCCTCCTCTGGATTAATAAAGGTTATATTGAACCAGGTAAATGTTTACTTCAGAGACTGTAGCTGCTCTGTACTGGTTTGTGTTGACTACAGTGTTGCACTTGCACATGTGCTGATCCCTTAAAAGCATTTCTGGTGTAATACTGCCCTCTGTGAATGGATGCTGCACAAATAGAAAAGTACTTACAAGTAAAGCTAGCATTGTTACAACATAAGGAGGCTTTTTTTTATTATATATGGACTGAGAGTAAAATGTTTTCATCAGAGCTGCTGATCCTGCCCATCTTCATTTTATTTTTTTGTCTTTTTCTAATGGGTGTAAATGTGTGCATTGGTACGAGAGTGTACCATTATCTTCTCTTAACATTCCTTCATTCCACTGTATCCCACCGTCTGTAGTGTTTTTATATTACTCTGTGAGTGTACGCCCGCCTGTGTGTGTAGTCCGTCCAGGTGTTTAAGAGTTCATGTGTGAGCCGATTCTGCCTCAGGCTCTGGAGAGCCCTCACCTTTACTACTGATTAATAACATGGTTCCCACACCAGGGAGGACACTTTATGAACTTTGAAGCGTCTAGTCCACATCAGTAGGGTCCTGTTGATAACTGTCATTACACTGCTGTGTTATCTGATGTCACTTTGACTTGGTTGGAATGTGACTCCGCCGTGGACCCCGACAGTATCGGTTTGACTTGACTAATGGACTGTTTTTAACTTGTCACTCATTTTATGTGACTATATACTGTAGCCACATGGCATGTAGTTATGCTGACCCGGTAGCTGTTGATGCAAAACTGCAAGTTACAAACGAGGCCTTTTATGTTTTAAGTCGGTGTTTTCCAAAATTGAGTTATCGAGGGTCCCTTGGAGAAGTCATAGGATGACCATCAGCTGACTAAAGAACGGCTTAATGTCAGTATAATGTATGAAAGTAGGGAATGCTTTAAGAACATAGTTTCTATTTGTTTAGTTGTTTATTTAAAAGGATCCCCATTAGCTGACACCAAGACGTCAGCTAGTCTTTCTGGGATCCAGACAATAAAATATCAAAAACAAGCATTACAGGCTCAAGTAAATAATAGAACAAAAAACAACTACAAAAATACACACCAACAATAATTGAAATAATAATAGAAACATATTTACATTATGTCATATTAATGATAATACAATCTAAAAAGGAACAAAAATTAACACCACAATAGATAGAACATTTGTAAAAAATAAACAATTTAAAAGACACACAACAGTTCACCTTGACCCTGTGGAGATTCTTGAATTTCAGCTTTTAGTCTGTGTAGAGCTAAAAACTTCTTCTTCTTTGTCTCTCTCAGATGACCTGACCCCAACAATCATGGCAGCGAGACCCTCCATGGCGCTGGCCCTGGGTCAGCAGCAGGTTGCTGGTTTGGCAAGAGCCGCCACGCTGGAGCAGCTAAGAGAAAAGCTGGAGACCGGAGGTGGAGAGGGACCAGAGAGGAAGATGGCCCGCCTGGCAGAGGAGCAGCAGCGCCTGATGCAACAGGCTTTCCAACACAACCTGCTGGCCATGGCTTCCCAAATGCCCATGAACCTGCGCCTGGGAGCCCCCACCATCACCACCAGGGGTCAGTGTTGCCACGTTTGTTTAAAAAAAAAAAAGCAACTCCCACCATTTTTTCAGAAACACATGTATCGTATATTTAATGTTCGGACTTGGAGGTAAAATGTCATGTGAAGAGACACAAGAATAATCAGTGCACTGTGATTTGTGTTTCCTCAGATGAGAAGCAGCAGGACATGTCTCTGAGCATCTCAACCAATGGAAATGCCAGCATCACTGTCTCAGTGGAGGTTAATGGCACGATCTACTCAGGTGTGTACAGCGGCGTTATGTCATCTTCAGTACCAAATAGAACCTTTACAGTCACAGTGGTAATAACACTACTTTTTAAAATGGTATTTTATTTATTTAACCTTTATTTTATCAGGTAAGTTAGTTGAGGACTGGTTCTCATTTTCAATGACAACCTGGTCAAGAGGCGGCACACAAACAAAATGAACAACAAAAACAGATTACATGTACAGCAAATCACACAATATTACAAAGACTTGTTAAATAGAGAGGCTAAAAACAGGTGCAGTGGTCCTGAAGTGTTGCTCCAGCTGATTTTCTTCTCGTTTTATTCCTGTAGGAACCCTGTTTGCCCAGAAGTCTGGTGGGGCCCCGGGGCCTGCTGTGTCGGCTGCTGCTGCTGCTTCAGCCTCCCCTGCTGGAACCAGCACCAGCTTTGGCTTCTCTGCACCCCAGGCTCAGACCCTCAGCCCCACGTCCTCCTCCTCCTCTAAGGGTCCTGGCTCGGCTGAGCCGGCCCCCAGTGGGTCACCCTAACTGAGGCTGCCCTTTGTACCTGCTTCCCAGGCCTCAATTCCTCCAAGAGGCCCAGCATGAATATACAGTACAATGAGAAACCGATAAGAATAAGAAACTGTTGCACAACAAATACCTCATCAACCCTGTCAACCTCTTGGCTGTCCAATCGTGAACACAGAGCCTGAGAATATTGTATGACAACATGTGTCCAAACGCACTGCTATGCATTTAATCTTATGCAAACACACACACACACACACTCACACACTCACACACTCACAATCAGTCAGACACAATCATACATACAGACACAGTCTACACACACATACACTTGTTCATCCTAATGTACATGCTAAACACAATCAGCTCAGCCAAAACCCACTGACAGGTGTAGTCACAACTGAACTTGAAAAGTTTTATTTTAGGACAATTTGTTTGTTTGTTGCCATTTTGTTGTCTTTTTTGATTTTGTGTTTTAGAATGATTTTGTTTTTAGTTTTTCTCTTTTTACATACCTCAAATCAAGTAACCTGCAGTGGTGTCTTTACCTCAGGAGCTGTAGTATATTTAACCTGAATCAACTTTATTTTTGTATTATTTTTGACCTAGTTGCAATCAGGGGAAGTCGGGTAACTCTCACCAATGAAACCTCATGTACAGAGCACCCACCTCACAGTGACAGGCCTCCAACCCGGGCCTCTCAGGTTTCTATAACACGCTGTAGCCTCTTGCTGAACTCAAACTGGTGAATGATCAGATGCTGTAGATCAGCGCATTAAATACCTCATTTCATTACTGCCCTCAGCTGAGATCGTGTGCTGATCAAGTCCACTAGACAGGTTGGAAGTACAAATCTCAAATTCAACCACTCCCAGGTCCGCACAAGCTGTCTTTTAAATATTGAACGCACAAAGTTGGAGGAACAGCAACTCTCACCCACCCACAACAAGCCTAGTAGACCCCGAGCTCATGTCTCCTCCCACAGAGGTTATACTGAGGCATTCCTAGCCCCCCGCTACAGAATCAGATACGAGTTTGTTGTTCCCCACTTTGTTCGTGCATCCTTCCTGCAGCTACAGCCGCATGGCTGAGAGTCGAGTGGGAAGGCGTCATCGTCAGTGCATAGTTCTCACACCTCATACTGGCCTCTCTGCTCTGGAGGGCGTCTTTCTCAGGAAGCAATGTGACAACTGCAAGGAATCACTGTTAAATTAAAGAGAAACAGACAAGGATTCATACCTGAAGAATGCACAAGCCTACATGACTGTTTCACGAATACCTCATCAGACTCTCTGAGAAGGGGAGCTACACTACATACCTCATACGGCTGCAAAGCCATCGAGACTTGACGCCCCAAATCCTACCTGAACTGAAACTGACACAGACATACTGACACACTGCTGGTGGTTTTTGGGGACAAAAAAAAAAAAACTGGGACAGGCTTGCTATCTTGCTCCTGTATTTACTTGTAGAACCTGTTTAATGCTTGCTACTTCTTGCATTTTCATTTTTTTTTTTCTCTTTTGGTTTCTCAAGTTCTTGTCAGAGAAGAGTGATATATCTGCATTTTTTTTTCAGGGAAGAGGAACAGAAAAGTTTGTTCCTCACTGACAGATTTTTTAGGATTGTTAAGGTTTCATGGTCACAGCAGTCAAAAAAAATAAAAAAAAACACACGAAAACAACCCTGTTAACCTTAAATTTGACTGCAGGCACCTGAATCGCAGTCGTGACAGTGGCGAAATGATATGCATGTGTACAATCATGTGACCAGTGTTTTAACACCTTAATCCTCTGGTTATTGCACAGCTAGATACCAAAGACTAGCCCAGTCGGTGAATGATCCCACGTACAATCCTGCTCACGCCTGCTGTGGTGCTTAGCAAGGCAGGTCTCTTTTGGACTGCAAAAAAAATGTTGCATCTTACTTCTTTCAATCTGATTTTGAGTGTATCCTAAAACAAGTTTTAAAAAAAAAATAACAAAAAAAAAACCTTTTAGGTGAGATGTAGTAAATCCCTTTTTTTTCACATTTTACGGCATGACTTGGTTATTGGACAGTTCCAGTGAGAAAAAAACTGGATTTAAAGACTCAAAATTTGATGACATGACGTGTACAGATTAGATCGTCAATAGCAGATATTCAACTCTTTATTATTCAGAGCAGAAGGCCAGATACTGTGGCCTCCTGAGCTGGTTCCCTAATTTAATCTTGTACAGTTTGAGGCTATTGTTGCTGGTTTTTAACACAGCGCCCACTGTGGATGCATCCCTCAGTGTGGACAGCGGCCTGCCTCCATAAAAAGCCCCTTTTTATTAAAACATCCAATTCCTGAGAATCCAGACGGCTGGATGAAGCTGTACCTCTTATTGTAAAATACTTTTCTCCTCCCTAGTAACTTTTTAGCATTTTGAACACCACAAAGGATGAAAACAAATTTTCTAGCTTTATCTGTGTTGAATGTGAGGCATTTTAACTGTTTAGAAACCTCTTTAAGCCCAGTGTGATCTGAAGTGGGCAGCCTTGTTGCTTTTATTAGATTGTATTTAGCCATTATGTGTCAGGTTTTTTGCAGACATTTTGCAGTTCAGATCACAGTTCGGGGGGTTTGAGGACTCGAAGACGGCGCTGTTGGTCTTTCAGTGTACCCTTCACAACCCCTGCGCGACACATAACTGTATTTTATAAAAGTGAGAATTATAGATGCTGCCTTAAAGTAGTTGCTGGTGAGATCTGGTCAGTGCAGGTTTCACTCCTCAGCTGGCTGGGAAAACTCTCTCTTCAAGCTTAATCCTTTGGAGAGTCATCACTTTTTGGGGGGGGAAACAGTTGAATCAGACGTTAGACACAAGTTTTCATTCATGCTGTTGTGTTAAGAACTGAGTTTTGATATTTATTCGTGTTGTTTTTTGTTTTTTGGTCCTTTTTTTTTTTCCTTCCTGGTGGACCTTGTTTTTAGTAACAGTTAAGCTTAATCTTTTAGGCTGTGTAACTAAAACATTTTCTTGTTTCTAAGTCCAAGTTTTCTGTTTCATCTGCTTAGTCTAAGCAATGACTGCTCCATAGTGTAGCTTCACTGCCTTTGTGTGTTTGTGTGTGTGCAAGTGTGCAAGCAGGTATATATATATATATATATTCAGTATATGCAGTGAGAACACTTGTAATAACATTCTAGATACTGCAGGTGGCGCCACAGTTGCATTTATTTCATTGAAACTGCCCAGTCCGGCCACGGTCCTCCTCTGCTGTTGGTCGGTAGGATTCCTCTCTCTGGCGTCAGCCTTCCAAGCTTCAACCTTCTGGTCACTTCACTAACTTTCAGCCTCCTGCCGCCTGACTTGCCGTGTGGATGTGATGCGTTGTGCCTGTAAACCCACAGGTGTGTGTGTGTGTGTGAGTCTGTGTGTGTCCTTTTAGAGACCCCCCCCCCCCCACCTCATCACACCACAGTACCTCAGGGCAGTGGGCTGCACTCGCCGTTGTGTTCGATGTAAAGCTGCATTGAGAGACGAGTACTGACAGAAGCTGTGGTCACTTGGCTGAATGCTACTTTGGATTTGGTTGCTTTTTTTTTTCTTTTTTTTTTTTCCTTTTTTTTTTGTCATCAGTAACTGCAGGCAAGGTCTCGTCACTCAGGAAGCTGTGAAGTTGGAAGTCTACGGAACCTTTTGTCTCTCCGATGATTGTGGAGTTAATTCAGTTTTAAATTGTTTAAAAACTAACCTGATCTGTGTAAAAACAGGTGCATATGCAAGTGGTTATCGAATACCTCATTTATCAATTTTATGTTGTTGTTTTGGCTTGTACAATGCTCCGTATATTAATTCAATTGTGGGGTTTGTGCATATTTTTGTACTGTTATTATTATTATGGATATGATAATAATGATATTACTGATATTATTATAGTTTTCTCTTTGATTAAAGCAAACAAAAAAAAATAGGACAAAACACACGAATGCTTGTAAAAAACTGGTTTGTGCTGATTGTATTTAAGAGGAGCACTTTTCCAAAGTGGTTTTTCACACATTCAGTTTTGTTCATATTAGTTAATATAAAGATATGGTTCTCAGGGCTTTAAACTTGTATGTCATGATAAAGTTTTACTTTATATCTTATTTCCACGTGTGTTTGTTTTATTTCCTCTGCTGCCACCTGATATTGTTCTCGCTAACGTGGAATTTACAGCCGTCACTGTTAATCTTGCTTTTCCTGCTTTGCTGCAACACACAGATTAGATCTTAGTAAAACACCCAGACATTTATTTTGACGCCCTTTGAAGCGCTTTCCAGTAAACTCATGTTGCAGTCTACGAGCAAGCTCAATTATTGAGATGAGTATTTCTGTCATTCTGGGTTTGGTGAGTGCCAGTATTTGAAGATGATGCATAAATATATTTCTCAGTGACCCTGACGGCTTTGCACCAATCACACTGCAAACCTACAGGTTCCTGGTACATCATGTTCAGGAAGTGTCGCCATAAAGTTGTGAAAATTTGGTCTTCCCATCAGCCCTGTGTTTACTGAAAGACCGGTTCTGTTGTATTTTCCTCACAAGTGTAACATGACAGCCGCGTCATTGTTATAAAGGTGACAAAATTCCTTTGAAACTACAGGTGTGTTTTTGCAACGTCTGTAGAGGCCAAGTGACACATAAAACATGAGGGAGTTCACATAGCAAACTGCTCCCATTTTACAGCTGTTGATCTGGCCAAGTTTGGAGAACTGAACTGGTCGGAACAATGACAGTCAACGTCAGGATTAAAAACAGATCTTTATTTATATAAAAAAGCAATGCACAAAATATTTTCTTACCAAACATTTTTAGCTATGGACGAGAGATGCACGATGACATTGATGTTAGTCAATAGAAGATTTAAAGTTAAATATTGGGATCGGCCCAAAGTTGACTTTTCGGCAACTGTCTGGCAGTCTGCCTGAAAATGTTGTATAAAAATAAATTGTTCCACATGTATGTTTTGTGTATATTTTAAAGGAACTGTATATTATATCTGCATCTGCTCTCAGGTCAATTCCCCAAAAACATGTTAGGCTTAATACATTCACATTTGCATCAGCAAAGGGCCAAAATAATAGAAAAATATATTTTAATAAATATCAGCAACAATCCAATATCATGCATCCCTCACATACAGAGCAGGAGGGAAATATTACAAACATTTGCTTTAGGCGACAGGTATTGTTTTTTTTTATTTTTTAAGATTTTTTTTTTTTTTTTAAAATATGAAAAGAGGGACGTTAGTCATGCATTTGGAACCAAAACTATATCAACTTATCAGAAAATGTATTTTGCATAGTATAAAAGTCTATAATGAATACCAACAAATATTTTCTACATATTCTTTCTTGGGGTCCAATGGACAATCACACACACCTACACACACACACTCTCACATTCACACAGAATGAAACGAGAATTTACTATTAACAGTATTTCTTAAAAAATATTTTAAAATGAAATTATTATATTACGCAGATTGCCAACAAAGACCCAGTGTGCACGGAAAACAGCAACGTCTGAAACTGGGACCCATCATGTACAGCAGAATTCATTTCCTTAGTTTTCAAATGATCACACAAACATAAGAGATGAAAATATACAATAAGGCCAAAGCTGTCTGCATGGCTGAATACAATTAGAGATAAGTGAGAAAACGAGAACAATGTTATTTTGAGTGCAATTTGTACGCTAGTTGAGTATACAGTCGTCCTCAAATGTATTCACACCCTTCCATTAAAGAAAAGGCAAAATTCACAATAGTCACTCAAATAACTAGAAACTGAAAAAAGTAATAATAAATAAAAATTTGCTAAATTAGAATTTAGTGAAATAAGACTTTGCTTTTGAATTGTGGTTTAAAAGAATAATTTTTAAAAAACAAAAAAAACTGTCCCAGACAAATTAGAGCACTTTGCTGATGAGCAGTGGGCCATAATCCAAATACCTGTCAACAGGTGCAGAAGTCTGATTGGGCGTTACAGAAAACACTTGATTGCAGTAATTGGCTCAAAGGGTTGTTCAACTAAATATTAGGTTACGGGTCTCATCATGCTTGTTTTTTTTTGTTTTTTTTCCTGTTGAACCACAATTCAAAAGCAATGTCATGATTTTCATGATTTTATTTATTTATTATTACTTTTGTCAATTTCAACTTATTTCAGTGACACCTGTTTTTTCCATCTTAATGGGAGGATATGAATACATTTGAGGACAACTGTAGCTGTTGTGATTAAAAATAATGAATCAAAGCTCAACTCGGCCAACCAGCCTTATTGATGATAGTCATAGATTTAGAAAACACAGAATTCAACACACACAAAATAAAGTGCTACCCAGCTCCTTGGATTTGAGTTAACGGTAAGCAGCCAAGTGTAGAAACGCAGGTGAACTGACTTTTGCATTGAATAACATTATGGCTTGCTTCATATGAGCTCAACTATTAGGCGATACGGCAAACTGCTTGCTGTATGGGAGCCCTGTTTGAGGGTCACAGCTGTGCTATCTCTGTGCTCAGATTCACACTTTCTAAAAACAGGAACGGCTGAAAAAAGGATGTCTCAACTCTCTTTGTTTCAGCATCTCAGCAGTAATTCACAGTCTGAACTTTGTTGACGCGATAAACAGAGACGTCCTGAGGAACATAAAATGGCTGTTGCAATCAGGTCAGAGGTCTGAGGTAGTTTACAAGATCTGCAAAGTGCATCACGTCCATTTACACAGAATTTCACAGTAAAGGAAAAAAGCTGCAAGAAACTTCCAGGTAGTTTTCCCAAAGAACTAAAATGAAATACTATCCTGCTGACATCATGACTACTTACATTCTGGTTTTGTAAGGAGCAATCCCTGGCAATCTTTCAAAAACCCCTGAAGGTTAATGGCTTCTGTCACACTTTCTAAACCAGAGCGCCTAGTTGCTACAGTGCACGCTTTCTTCTTGCTTGATTTGTATGACAGTCGCAAAATTTGATAAGTATAACAACTCCATACATTAATTCATATTTACAAATATGTTGCATTGTTCCAAATAATATCAATGTGTCACACAAATCAAGCAAGGCGTTTCTAAGATTTCCATCTTTGGCTTCTTGGCTACATGTTCATGCAGTAATAGATGGAAGGCACAAACTGGGCTCAGCACTGCAGCGAGCTTGGTTTAGGAGTAAAACACGACGACATCAAGTGCAGTAAAGCATCAATGGATTCAGAAATGCTAAAATCTAACATTAGACCTTGACATATATATTGTACTTTTTACCTTCTTTCTCTTATGGACAGTAAATACTAGAAGTGCAGTAAAATAACTTTCTAAATTCAAGGAAATAGTAACAAAATAAAGTATTTACAACATCACAGTTCCAGCCAATGTGTGTGGCAATAAGTCAATGTTCAATCATCAAACCATCCATCCATCCATTGTCTATACACCACTTAGTCCTCACTAGGGTCGCAGGGGGGCTGGAGCCTATCCCAGCTGCAGGGTTGGGAAAGTTCAATTTCTACATGAACTAATTCAAAGTTTAGTTCACAAATTTTAAAATAAACTAGTTCAGATCATAATTCAAAATTTGGAACTAAATTTACAGTTCCAAAAATGAACTAGTTCATTGTTCTTTTTTTTTTTTTTTGCGTTGTTGATGTACAGAGTTGCTTCTTGAAACCCGGCGGGCAAAGTTTACACAAACAGGTACGATTTTTCCCACCTGGATCATCACTTCATCACTGACCTTTTGATAAAATTCTTTTAAGTAAAGAAAGACGCCATATTAATCGAGAAGGCAGAGTCTGAGGTAGTGCTGCTGCCTTCATTTGCTTTTGCCTCGATGCTTTGCACGTTGATGACCCATGCAGAGGTGTGACTCTGTGGTGGCTGCTGTCAGATTGGGTGTTTTTCCTTGTACGTATTAAGGCCTGTCTTCTAGCTACGAGGCGGAGGTGCTAACCACCGAGCCACCTTACAGCCTGTGAACAAACTAAATGCAAGAAAAAAAAAAGACCTGAATCTCAGTACGGAAAGGTGTACTGACTTCAGTCACACTGACCTACTGTGGGGCCTGACATTTAAGTGATATTGCACAGGGATGTACTCGCTTCTGCTGTATTCTCTAATACTCTGAACTACCAGGGTAAATTCTTAATCAGAACAACCATCACACAAATCCAGACCACTGGGCTTGATAGTTGACCCACTGCTCTGCTCTCCAGCTGCAGTTGGTACTGTGCCAGGACTTTGCTGTAACCCATCTCCTCTGACACACATTCGTAAGTTCCCACCTGCTCAGGTCCCATGCTGTTGATCAGAAGGAGGCACTGCTCCTCCCTCGAGCTGCAGGATGTGGAGCTTTGAAGGCTGCGCCAGCTGTACTGGGCATGGCGGGATGACACTGGGCACTGCAGGAAATACTTTGACTGAGGGCGAAGTGTGATGCTGGTCACCTGCTTGTGTCGATCTTGAACATTACTGGAATACCTAGATACTGAAAACAAAAAACAACACCACAAGAAAGACTATTTAGCTTTAAGGCGTATGTTTACTTTGTTTTCTTTATTTAATCTGTAACCAGTTTGGTTTCTTTGTAACGTCTTTCACGATGCAATGGATACGCCAGGAGGGGTTGTACATCTAATAATGAACCTGAGAAATAAGGCTCAAATGTGCAGTAAAAGTAGGTTAGGAACAGATCTAAAGTCAGAGTAGAACACAAAGATAAAGATCATTCATACCGGTTAGGTGAGTGGTTATTGTAGAGGGAACATGTTTTATCAAAAAAAGCAGAAGTGCTGTTGCTCTCATTTGCATGTGAACTTTAATCTATGTAGAAATGCAAACTAGTAAAGGCTTTGTAGATAATGAGGAAGTTGGTTAACCGTACGTGTTGAGGCATATCCAAAGAGATTACCAAAGCAAAGAGCTGTATCATCAGCATATGGGCATATAGGAGGAACACTTTCTGTTTCTGATTATGCCAGTTTCATTAGAAAACAGCTGAGTGTCTCAAGTAACAGACCACAAAACAACATCCAGTAATATATGTTCTAAGAAAATTTAAAAAGCAAAGTAGGCAAACAGTTTCTTGGTGATGCTTTGCAGTGGTCTGACATTAGTGTATAAACTGAATGTAACCATCTTTTATTAAAATGGGTTGCTTGCTGTTGTAGGAAGTAGTGCTGCTCACAGCTTTAGAAGGGAAATTGAATTTTGTGCCAGAAACAGTCACAGAGGAAGTGAGATAAGCAGCGCTCAAACAGGTCAGACAAAGTTTTTGTTGCTGGGCATGAAAATCTGAACACTGGTACAGGCTTTTAGGGACTCAGAGGTGCCTCATTTCCTCACTAATGTAACAAACAAAAACAGATTCAGAAACTACAGTACAGATAGGACTGGCAGACTTAATAAGAGCTTCCTCAGAAACACTGTGGGCAGGTCAATTAGACCTGATAAAAGCGGGCAGTATTTGGTAACAGCCAAATGAGCTGTTGAGGCAGTTCTGTCTGCTCTGAGTCAATATATCCAAAATGCTTTACATATATATTTGACTAATGCTCCTGTAGGGAGGCAGGTTCTGTAGGCTCTGTGCTAAATTATTCTCCCTTAAGTGCAGTGAGGACATTGCTGTAGGAACCTTCTAGAGAGAAACTGACTGTCAGAAATTTTATGAAAATTCGATTTGTCCAAAAGCTGAGTTGCTGCTCTTCTTCAAAGGGCTCAATGCACAGTTTGGGGCACGAGGCACTGAATAACTTTGATTGTTTACCAGTTTCCCTGCCTGCTCTGGGACAGATACTCTGAAAAGGGCATTTCCCTCAATTCTTTGATGTCTGCCTGTGAACAACCCCTAAAATCATTTCTTCCACTTCTGCAGAAACTCTGAGTAGTGGAAGCGTTTTTCTGTTTCTGTTCTGGAGCTGAGTGGTTATTGTAAAGGGCAAGTGTTTTATTAAAAATGACTGTGTGGCTTGTATAAATATTCGTGTGTGAGGAAAACCTTTCAGAATGATATCAATCAGTTCTATCATGTTCACTGCAGTCAGCATTTATTGTAGTTAATGTTAAACCACTAATCAAGTCACAAATCAGTGGTATTTCTTGGTTGTTGGTTCATCATATACAGCATGTCGAACAGCTCCCTCCTCCCTGAACTCTCTCAGTCGGATCTACCCTCCCACTCACTACGCTCGACCAACAAAAACCGCCTGATACAGCCACCACAACAGGGCCTGAGGCGGATAGCTAGACTCTTCTCCTCTGTGGTTCCCTGGTGGTGGAACGAGTTGCCAAACTCTATTCAATCTGCTGACTCCCTCTCAGTCTTTAAGAAAAGACTAAAGACCCAGCTCAATGAAATTGTAGAATTGTGTATGTGAATAATTCTATAGTTCACTGTTAATAAACAATACAGACTGGTAAACTCCTAAATATCTCACTACCTTTTTCAGGGACGTGACGTTGTAACTGCGACGGACATTTGGCGTGATTCCCTTCAGCATCCTGCAGAGTCCCACTGTGAAAGAAAAGGTGCAGCTCATTTAGTATCACCTTTATGTAACTTCCTAAGTGAGGAACTCTCCACCTATACACAAGAACATCTGACATTTGAATTCATACTTGATTTAATGTTTCCAACAAGGTGCACAACTGTCATGGTCACATTGAAATCTACATTTCTCTCTAAATTCCAGAATTATTTGTACAAATAAGCTCAGTTATCATTAATGATCATTATCTAGTGTGTATACTAAGAATGTAACATCTTAACAAGTGCTATTCCATTGCTCTTTGACTGTGCCTGCCTATTTTATGAAACAAATGGCAAATTCAAACAAATTGCACACACAGTCCTGTTCTCAGTGAATCGTAAACTAGCTTCCCACATTTGGAGCGTTGGGGATTTTGCTTTACTTATTGTATATAAGAACATACTACATAGTGTAAAAAGTTCCCATTTAAGAATATGATGCCTCCTGCCTCCTTTGTCTTTGTCAGTCCTTGCACATGAAGAAATATGATCTATGACTGATACTACAGTCATTTCCTCTCTTGTGCGGCCCACGAGTGAATCATTATTTGATAAATGTTTTATGTTGCGTCATATTAAAAAAAACTCCGTGATCACAGGTGTAGTTCCTGCTTGTAGGTGGGGGCTGGAGGCTGAAGCTTAACCACACCGAAAAAACCACTTCAACATACTGAGAAATCTAATTTTAACTCCTCTGTCCTGTTCTCTTTTCACATGTGTTACTTCTAGTTTCTGAGAAAAAAGTCTGTCATGCGTAGAGGTGGGTTGAAACTGTCAATGCAAAGTCAAAATACATGTGATCCTTACAGTTCTGCTGCAAGTGATCAATTGCAGTTTGCTTTAAGTGGAAACACAGAGCTGCCATGTGAGAAGAACATTCACAACATCATCATGTCGGGAGAGTTTAGTGATTGTGTTCTGTTAACAGTGTTTGTAGCTTTAGCGTGTGAGGACAAGTCATGGCTGAGACACGTGTTATGACAGCTGTAGAATTGGGGGCATTGTGGTTGCTTGTTAAAAGGCACACTGTGCACAATATGAAAGTAAAAAGCTGCAGCAAGTCTGCTGACTTGGTAACTAGTTGCTGGTATGGTCGAGTGTTCAAGCACTGTGGTAAAATGACTTATACTATGTTATCATTAGGTGAGTTGGCCACGAAAAGTGCTAATAAGCAATGCTGGATGATGATGAAAAGTAGAGTAGTAGCAGCAAAGCAGACTCAAAATGTCCAAAATGCAACCCTGAAGTACACAAACAAACCATCAAAGTTGTATGTTCACATGAAAATAATAAGTTCTTGCATTCAAATGGTTTAGTTGTAGCTGGATCATGGTTACCTATTCTAGAGTGCATGGATCAATGTTCTCCATGCTGCTCAAACACTAAAAAAAACAAAAACCCACTCAAACACTGTGAAACTACTCTAACCTACACAATTGAAAGTTATACTACTGGATCAGTTCCATTATACATACATACAGAGGTTCCTAGTTCCTTTGGAAAAAAACCTGCGGTGGAAACAAAGCCTTAGATCACTGGTGTGCAGTTACGTGAAGCTCAGAGGTCTTACGTTGTCTGAGGGGTGCAGTGGGTGCCGTTCCAGCCACAGTAAGGATCTCTGGATAAGACACATTCCTGGCAGGTGTTTCCATACCGGCCACAGTTGGCCACATCCAGCTGGACCAGCTCATTTGTGGAGTAGACATACAGCTTTCTCTGCAATGAGACACGCATTGAATGATTGTACTGGGCTTTTATATTCTGACAAAAAGAACAAGTTTGAACTTCATTCAAAGGATAAAGTTTCATGCTCTTCTTTAACAGGTATCACCATTTCCACTAGACAAAACCATAAGTGCCACAGGTATGAAACCGTTCCACACCCCCCACTCTTGTATCTTGGTTGAGTAGAGGCAGATGTGTTGGCAGTGGTGTGTTACTCACAGAGGAAGGGTGTAGGATGATGCCTTGAATATGCGCTCTGTGGTTAAAAGGTCGATACTCTGCAATGATGAAGGCTTGGTTTTTGTTCTGCATCACCTTGTGAACTCCTCCATTATCTATAAAAGGGCAAAGGAAGGAAGAAAGACAATGACTAAATACACAATCAGTCTGAGCACAGAGCCCTCCCACTCACAGCCCAGGTTTCATGACCTTAGATGATACTTCCCTCTGTAACAAAAACCTCACCTCTGGTAAACACAAAATAGCTTGATAATTGTGAAACGCTGGCTTCAGGCTTTCCTTATAAATGAGAAATGGTCTGCACTTACGTAGCACCTTCAACCAAAGCGCTTCACAATGTGTTTCTCATTCACCCATTCACACACACACTGATACACCAATGGTGACAGAGCTGCCCTGCAAGGTGCTGCCTGCCATTGGGAGCAACTTTGGGTTCAGTGTCTTGCCCAAGGACACTTCGACTGTGGAGGGGCAGGGGATTGAACCACCAACCTTGCGACTGGAGGACAACCCACTCCACCACCTGAGCCGCCCAAAATACAGCCACCCTTATACATCCACAGTTATCAGCTGACTGTATGTGTTCTTGGCATTGCCTACATCACTCACTGTATGGTCACCTATGTCATTACGGGACTCACAGAGCAATATATGGAGTACTGAAGGTAGAAGACACTGTTGCTCTAACATCTGACTATGGGGTCAACACATGTTTACAGTTTCTGAGGTATCTTTTGGAAAGTCCTGAGGGGAGTTCAACAAAGCCAAAGTTCAAAAAGAGTGTACACACATTGTGATACTCATAAGAGGTGGGGAAAAAATGTTATTCTGATGTGAAAATCCCACAGGATGCGCTCTGTTTCGGGAAGTCACAATAAATCCAAAACCAAAACCAAAGGCCTTTTCAGAAACATGAGAAAGCTTTCCTGTAACAACATTAAAGGTACTGTTTTCTCTCTGCTATGCATGTATATTGAGGCCAGGCTAAAGCGAATCTGGGACACAGGGTAGTGTGTACACTTTTGTAGAGAGTTCACTTGAACCACAAACTTGTACTGTGTTTCTATTTGGTTTTCTGTGGAAACGGTCACCGTTGTGCGAAGCCTTTAAGTTGTAGGATCCATACAGAAAACCTTTGTGTCTGAGCCCTCAATAAGTCACACCACACATCTACATTTGTCCCTGAGGTGATTATTCCTCCCCTTTACAAGCTTCCTTAGTCAGTCCTCTTCTGCTGACCCAAGTCTGCAGGCCTGTTTTCCAGCCAGATGCTCCAGAGCCTACAGAAAGTATTCACCCCACTTGGAAGTTTTTCCCTTTTATTGCTTTTCAACATTCAATCATGGTCAATTCAATTTGGACTTTTTGGCATAATGTTGAAAAAAAGACTTTGATGTCAACATCGAAATAGATTTCTACAAAGCAATGTCGACTAAAAATCTAAAACATAAAATAACTGATTGCATAAGTATTTGTCCCCTTTAAGCCAGTATTTAGTAGAAGCACCTTTAGCTGCAACTATAGTATTGAGTCTTTGTGGATTGGCCTCAACTGGCTTTTCACATCTGGACAGAGCAATTTTACTCCATTCTTCTTTGCAAAACTGCTCACACTGTCAGTTAGCATGGGGACTGTGAGTGAACATCTCTTTTCCAGTCCAATCACAAATTCTAAATTGGATTGAGATCTAAGCTCTGACTCGGCCACTCACCTTGTTGTCTGTCAGCTTCGGCTGTAGGCTTTGGGTCACTGTCTTGCTGAAAAGCAAATCTCTCCTAAGTGTTGTTTTACAGGACATCCCTATACTTTGCTGCATTCATTTTATCCTCTACCTCTACAAATCCTCAAGGGCCTTGCTGCGAAGAAACATCCCCACAACATGATGCTGCCACCACCATGCTTCAAGGTGGGGAAGGTGTGTTTGTGATAATGAGCAGTGTTTGGTGTCTGCCAAACTTGGCATCTCGTCAGATGACCGAAAAGCTCAATTATGGCCTCTTCAATCAAAAGGAACTCCATCCACTTAACTTCAGAGTCTCCTACATCTACCTTGTGGCAAACTCTCGATGAGATTTAATATCAGCTTTTTTTCAACGGTGACTTTTTCTTTGCACTCTCCCATAAAGCTTTGACTGTTACAGAACAGGCAACAGTTATTGTATTTCCAGTCTCTTCCATCTCAGCTGTTGAAGATTGTAACTCCTGTTTATATTGACTATGATTTAATGTTGAAAAGCAATTAAAGGAGGAACTTCCAACTTGGGTGAATACTTTTCGTAGGTGCTACAGTACTGAGAGCTGCCGTAACTGTGTTGTGTCTCACTGTGTATTAAAGTAAACTTTTAGGTTGCTCAAATGCTTTGACCCAGTGTAGCACATTTTTTAGAGGAACTTGTGATTAGTCATCTTCAAATGTACAAACACATGCATAGCAGAACCATTTTTAGTTTCATCCTTCCTAATTTAAGTGATTATATTACTCACTCAGAGACAGGAACAGAACCGTGTTGTTCCTCATGTGCTGGGAACGGTCAATGTGGATATGAGTGTAGTTGTGATGATTAAAGAGAATTGGGCCAGAGGCACCCTCAGGCTGGACCCATTCCTTCATCTCCGAAGTCTTCTCGATGTTCCTCAGGATGTCAGAGGAAATCTTTGTGCTATCTTGAACACACTGAAGGAAAAAGGTGCATGTTTCAGTCCAGCTGCTGCACACCAGCTGAATGTTCTCGGACTCTCATCCACCATAGTTGCTGTCAAGCTTTCTGTTTTTTTGCTGTGTAATTACAGTAATAACTAGAATCATGAGTTGGTGGTAAAACTTGTCTCCAGCTTCCTTTTTTTCTCACTTTAGCTTTGAGTTATTGGGTATTTCATTTGTTGAATTTCAAGCTAAAAGAAAATACGCAAAAAGCCCAGTAAATTAGTGGAATTGTCAAGCTATGTCATGTCTGTTCCCGTAAATTCCGGACTATAAGCCGCTACTTTTTTCGCACACTTTGAACACTGCGGCTTAAACAATGATGCGGCTAATTTATGTACAAATTTGCCTCGAGACGGAAGTGACATTGAGAGCAACAACGAAAGAGAGACTGAGGAAGTGTGTGACAAAGTAAATCTGAGGCTGTTCAAATCTGACACTGAAGAAGACGACTTTAGTGGTTTTAGTGCACAGGAGGAAGATGAAGATAGCGATCAATGACGTTTCCTGGTTATTTTCTTAACCTGTCGTGTTACAGGCACTGTTCAGAAAGAAGCATTTACGGTACGTATTTGTGTATGTTACGTATTTAATTAAAAGTTTAAAAAATCTTTCTGTGTAACATCTTTCTTTGTAACTATCTCATGTTACAACGTGAACACTTGCGGCTTATAGACAAGTGCGGCCTACATATGTACAAATTTAGTTTTCTTTTTAAAGTTAGTGGGTGGCTTATATTCAGGTTGCCTCAATAGTCCGGAAATTATGGTACATCCTGTGGTCTGTAACTATTTTTAAGGACATGGTTTTAGCCAAAACACAGCAGGGATCTTTAAATAATGACACTTTTCACATCAGATAAGTTAGAACGGTTCATACCTCCCGAGGCCGGACAATTTGGTTGTCTGGGGTGAAGCCTTTAAACAGGGAGGTTGTGAAGACATTGTCAATGTCTTGTACTTTGTAGACACAAACAGCACTCATCCCCCTGCAGAGACACAAGAAGTCAGCAGGTTTACACAGACGCATCCGCATCAACCAGACAATGCACAGAGGTCAACAAGATTTCTGTCACGTTAGTAATAAACTGTGACAAAAAAAACAACAGCTGACCCGACACGACGCCGGTCCAGGAAGCTAAACTTTGTACACAAAACACAAGAGGAACAAAAAAACCCCAAAGTGTCATCTGTTCTGACCGATCAAATGTGATAGTCACAGTCAAAGGAAGTTGATATCACGATTTGTTCAGTTTGTCTACTGAAGATTTAAAGTTCTGTTTTTCTTTCTTCTGTGTCAACAACCATTTATAGGTCTTTGTCTGTCTCATGGTGGTTTGTGTTTCTGGAGTCTGACTTGGTTCAAGAAGATGAAACAACAATGACCTGGCTGTATTACAGGAGGACTAAACAGCTGCAGATGAGTCATTCCAATTTTAATCTTTATTTTCATTTTGGCTGACTTTAATCTTATGATGCTGAGGGAAAGTTCACTAACGTTTTTGGGAAAAGCACATGATGTGATTACACAAGCAGCTGACTACTGATCATGCACTTCATGTCAGATTTGAGATAATTATCTCATTACAACTGATACAATCTCATAACGTCACAGCAGTGTTTTCACTTGAGTCAAACCTTACAGTATCCTGTAGAAGCGGTCAGTGACAGCTGCGTCTTACCATTCATTTCTGAAGAGTGCATAGACTTTGGAGTCCTGCCATCGGTCTGCGTGCACAATGGCCGTATCTACCAGCTCAGAGAAATGCTGTTTGCTGTCGGGGTCTCCGCAGAAGAGCCTGGCGTGCATCTGAGACGTCCAGCTAAACTGCAGGTTGTTCTTTGGTCCACCAACATCTGCCTAGAAGCAACGCACAGTCAAAGAATCAAGGACTCCTCCACGGCACACATGCAGTGATTAGTATATGAATATGGTTACAGCACAAAAATATACAAGCAAAAATGTTTCTGTCAGTTGTTTAATCCCATTTAAAAAAAATATATATCCTAAAAATTTCTTACCATGCAAACTTGGGTCACAAAAGGCAGCCACATCTCACTGTACAGCCCTTTGTCTCTGTTCTTTTGCCTATAAAAGGCATAAACTCTGTCCTGTAGGGGAGCGTCTCTTCCTCCGCTGAGCATCAAACCCACATAGTACTGCTCTAAACCTTGAAAAACATAAGAGTTATTTGTCTCTGAACATTTAAGTTGACACTATTTAACAAAATAAGTCTCTCTCTCTATAGAAATACCTTTATTATTGTTCGCTGGTCTGACTCTTTTTTCTCCAAACTTGTAAATGCCAACATAGTCTTGAGCTCCAGAGTATGTAATGTAGAGATCTGCACTTTGTTCAGATTCTGGAACAAACATGCACATGTTAAGGTATCATATAGCTGCAAACAGAAGACACTGGTGCAACATAATTATCACAAACGTTGAGCTACATAAAGAAGGTTGGTTGGTTTAAAAAAAGAGCACATATGTTCAGCAAACAGGCCAGGACAGGAAAGTAACCGTTCAGGATTTATCAGAGAAGATTGGTTAATCAGAGACTCATCAACTCACCCACAAGTGCAAACTGTTCACCATCCCTAATGGTAAATTCCATGATGGTCTCTGATATACTCCTCATTTTTTCAGAGGGAATGCATGTGGGTGACGGCTCTAATGAATTCTACAAAAAAAGAAAACAAACACACAGTGCATTTTTAGACCTCCCAAAAGCTCTGCATTACTGGTAGCACAATAGAAAAAGACTCCCTCCAAACTATGGTACAACCTGAGATTAAAAGGTCTTTATTGTATTGACTTTTCCTTGCTATTAATATATTTATAGTATTATTGAAGAGATGGAGAGCTTCGACTTACCAGTCCGGCTCAGGCAAGTCAACATAATAAAGACATTTTAAACAAAGGAGTGTCTTGATGTGGAGAGACTTTTTACAACAGAGCACAGCTACAGACGTCTTTCTACCACCAATAAGTACACCCATTGTGATAGCAGTTCTCAATATCTCTGCTGTGTCCTACCATGTCACAGCAAAGTGTTTTACTGCCGTCGGTTCCACAAACAAACACTTGGCGAGCATCTTTCCTCTGGTGGACCACGGTGATTTTATAGTTGCAATCCTAAATGATAAAAAGAAGATCCATCAATAAGTCACTGTCAGATCGAACCAACAGCCCAACTGCTCTGCTTTCATCATTTTATACCACTCACATTGCCGGGGCAGTCCTCCCATAACACCTTCCTTTCTACAGGAGCCTGTAAAGAGACGTAATGCAGGGACATTACTTTCCTCCATATCATGATGAAGTTTATTTCAGAGCAGCAATTCAACAGCTCAGTTTGCTGTAGTACAGTCATTCAGTACCTTCTTGGGGTTTTGGAAGTCGTAGGAATCCAGGTATGTGTGTCCAACAGCTGTGACAGTATCCGGCTGTCCTTCCAGGAGGATCTGAACAGGTCTGTGTTGTTCAGGTATAGACGACCTTTTAACTGTAGTTTCTAAGATTGAAAAAAAAAAAAAAAAAAAAAAACTGAATGATAAACATGACATGGACTGGGTGCACAAAGGACAGGGTCAAATTTCAACTGTACACTAATGTATTTATACAACAAAGAACTGTGTTGTTAGCAGTGTCATGGGGAGTAATGTTACCGAGTCGGTTCACTACTTTGATCCAGACTAACATATGAGGTGTGTCAGAAAAGTTCCACAGGCGGGGTCACAAAAGATGTATTTCAAAGCCAAACTACAAAGTACGAGTTTTCCAGTTCAGACAATCAACCAGAACGTCTACAAAGAGATCCTGCAGCGTTCAGAGAAGAGGCGAGAGTTGTGGCCAGGTCAAGTTTGCAAATGAGAACTGGTTCTCAAACATTTTTACCTGGTAAAATAAAGGTCAGATAAATTAAATAAAACTCAGTGCAGCAACCCACCACGCTGATGATTTGGGCCATGCAGCTGTGCCAGATTTTCCTCAGTGAGTTAACCAGCAAACTGTCGTGAGCGGGAGTCGAACTCACGACCGCTGCGTTGGGGAACGACAGCCCCTGTTCATGGGTCACTAAAGGTGAGCTAGAGGGGCGTCTGAGTTAGCCATTCCAATGACCTTGCTCACCTTCATGTATGTAAACGTTACAACAGAACAAACCCCCGTCACTATTTTGCAAGAACACTGTCTCGGAAAACTGTTAAACCAGTTTGACACTGGTCTCTTAATTTGATCTATTCATTGTCCATCTTTCTTTGTTTGAATTTGTGATGCAGAAACTGACTTGAGAGCCTCAGTTGTGTATTTTTGACAATTCATCATGAATATTTACACTTTTCAGTTCAGGGCTGCAGGCTGGAGAAGTTTTGTCGTCGTTTTTGCTGCTCAAACAATTGTGGGTTTGTTGTCAGTGTAAGAAATTAATGAAAAGCTTTGAAACTTTTTTGTTTTCTTGTGTAGTTGTTTAGCTTATTTGTGCACAAAGCTTTCCAAATGCTGGTTCAAGTCCTTACCAGCAGAGAGGAGTCATAAAACACAGCCTAAGCGGGAAACATCAAGCCTTTTAAGAAGAACACAGGAGCTGCCAACTGGTAGTAACATACACGGAGGTTTTGAAAAGCAACAAAAAAATGAAGCTCAATTTCACTTTACAAGCTAACAGACTTCTGCATGACCAAAGTTCTCGTTTATAAGTTAATGATTCCACTGAAAAGCCGGTGTGATTGATCTCATGAAAACAATGGCGGTCCTTTCATGTGACCTAGTTCCCACTCACTCTTCCCGCTTCTTCATGTGATAAGACACCTGCTGTTGCTGACGGGGATGGAACTGAGTCTTTGTTTATAAGATATCATGTCAGGACTCCAGTGGATATACTTGTTTTCTCTGAAGACATGCTGACTTAGTGTAATCATAAGTGTAACTAATAACATCAGCTGTAGCTCAGTTCTGTTCTCCCTGTAGGACGGAGATAGATCCAGAATGGACCACTGCAGGCTCTGAAAGTGAAGCAGCTAAATGGAACTCAGCCTTCATTAAATGTCAAAAAAAAATGTCAACATGTCTTTGGAGAAGTCACAACTTCCCTTACTGCAACCTTGTGTAAACCTGTTAATTTTCAGTTCTTTTTCTTCTGTACAGAAATACTTTGTGGAAGGTCTGATATCACAACATTATTGTGACTTTAATGGCACCTTGGAATTAAAAATGTGTATTAAATTTTTACCACGACACTCTTAAAACAATGCAAGCAGGTTTAAATGATAAGACATCACATCAGTTCTCAAAATTCAAAGAAATAGCTCACTTCATCCTCATTCATGCTGCGGACAGTGTAAATGTACAGCTGGTTTAGTCCTTTCTACTGCTGTTTATCTTTGTTTTAAACAAAAAGAGAAGAAGTGTGTTGCATTGCAATAGTATTTCTCGTTATTTATTTTGTCAACAGGTCTGTCTTCAGAATGAGACCCCGTGTCTCAGTGAGACTATCTGAATAAACAGAGGAAATAATAACTAAATGAGAGGCAGGACGCATTTTTCTTGTTCGTGCTACTTTTGACTTTGACCCACTGAAGAAACTGTGACAACATACACGGACTAGTAAAGAGAAATATTTCCTACCTTTGTCCGTGAATATCATTCTGGGTGAATGTGTAGAGTTTGTCCCAGACAAACCATCCAGACGTAAAAATAACACACATAATGTTAGCAGGAGAATCATTGTGATCTGAGGTTAAACCGACGCGTAACTGTGCCGCGTCTTTGCGCGCTGCAGGATGAGAAGAGTGCTCTCTCAGTGGGTGTGTCGCAACACACACTTCCGTCATGGTTTGTGTGTGTGTCGTTAGTCGATAAGATTTTTTAAATACCGCATCTTGAAGATAAACACTAAACATCCTGCCAGTGAGTGCATCAACAGTCAGCGCTCCAGCGTGTTTGTGGGTGTGACGTTCCGGACTACGGCTGGAGATGGAGCCAGATTGTTGGACTACATCAGAGTTGTGGATGACAGACCGTCGGTATCAACAGCCGTGTGACCTAACCTGTGTCAGAAATTCACAAATGTCTGCAAATGTCTTGGATCAAGTTCAGAGACTCAAGTGCAGATATGTAATAATCATATTTGGGTCATTCCAGAATTGGAGGACATTTGGGCTTCAAAAATTTGGAAAAATAAACCTTCTCCTTTTCAAATTTCTGTTAAGTATTCATCAGTAATAGGTAATCAACTATAAAAAGCTTGATTGGCTCAGCTCAGGTATCAAAGGCCTACGTTTTATTGTATGTTTGACTTGTTATTTGCTATATTTGGCTTCACCCTGTTACCAACATGGAGGTACCTGGAAAAGCTAGATTGATTTATATTTTTTTAAAGCTATAATTCCTTTACCATTAGGTACATATAGTAACAATATAATCAAATAAACATTTGATTTCAGACATGACTTGATTTAAATTAAATTACTTTTGAAATCTACCTTTCCCAACTTTTCCATTTTGGCACGTTTCACTTTACTAATTTCAGTATTTATGTCGTGGATCAAGCAGTCAAAGCACAAAAACACAGATTTAAAGTTCACAAAAGACAGATTTATTTTATTATTTTACAAAAAAAACAACTGAAAGTACTAAAATCAGAGCTGTAGGGTCCTTTAAAAGAGGTCAACAAAATATAACTCTACTGATACATATGGCGAACAAAACTGGACATTAACTCAACTAACAGTCCTGTCAGACTATATACTGGCTGATCAGACCAAATTTAACGCATGAGGGGAAAGTATATAAGCAACAACTACAACCAGTACAAAGAAACCCAAATCCCCTCCATGATATCAGAGCTCTTGGTCTGGTCTGTGAGAGGGCCTTCAGAATAAAGCCATGCTCCGCCCCCATCTGTCATCATGCAGCAGCCAGGTAACTCCAAGAAAAGACAACTGAATTAATAGCAAAATGAAAAACAATGTAAACTAAATGTGTGCCCTCCATCTGGAAAACAGTGTTGTCAAAGTGTTCATAAACCTATTTTTTTAACAGATCAAACGATGTGTGTGTGTGTAGTTTAAGTGGCTGTAACTCAATTGAACATGTGGTGATGGTGTTTATCAGTGTGTGGGAATTCTTCAACTTGTGTGGCTGTGGGCACGGCCGTCACAATTCATCTTCAAATATTTGCTCAAACACATTATGCATATAATTACTCAAACTCTTTAAAGGTCTTTAGCTCAAACCCTTGTGAGCTGAAAAATTCTTTTATGATTTTTTTTGTCATTAAAATGATACGGGAACAGAGCTGAAGAGCTACATGACTTTTGATTATAGATCATTATGTAAATGTGACAAAGAAATGCTCAAGACCACAGAAATGTCAGTCAAATTAAATGTATTTGCTTTGGTTGATATCAACAGATTTTTGGTGGATTAATTTATGGAGATAAAATCCTAACTTTACTGTAGATGTATCTTTAATGATCATTTAGCATTGTAACAATTAAACTAATCAAGTTCAAAATATAAACACAAGTATATATACTACATGATACAAGTATTATATTTTTTGACTAATTTTTTAAAGTTTTATTACAATTTGCTGCTGAAATTGAGTCTAAATCCATCTTTCTGCTGTGATCAGGACAATCCTTTTCAGATCATAGGTATCCTAATCCTACTCAAAAGTCTTGATTACATGCTGGCGTCGGATCCCATCAAAACCAGTCAAGTAATCTAATCTAATTAAGGATGTTTTTTTTCTTTTTCTTTAGAAAAACCTAGTTTCAAGATTTGATCTAAGTCAGTGCCTGAAATCCATTCAGAAGACTGAACAGCTGTTTCCTGCAGACAGTATTTGTGAAACCCTTTAGGTTCCTTAAACCTCCAGTAGATGGCAGGAAATGTTCAATATTTTTAAGAAAACAAAACATTTTTATCACAATGAAGATGGATGTGAACACTTAGCTCAATGGATGACGAATCATAAAAACTAACTTTAAAATAAATGTGTTGCTGCATCTCCATGAGGATAATTTATAGTAATATGTGACTTCCATTGTGCTAAACCA